AGACCACTTCTAATCCGATTTCTTTTTCAGGTACCTCCAGAACAACCCTTCCACGGTGTGAGCAACCGGGAAGTGATAACCGCCCTCATACTTCTAACAGCACTCAAGACCACTGTATTCATAATCAACCTCCGTCTTCACTTCCTATTACTCTTTCTACATCGACTTTCAATACTAAACTTCTTGTTTTGATTTCCTCCTCAAGTTTCACCATAGCCAACGATTCCAGTGCACAAAACACTGTCCCAGGTCTACTGAAACCGTGCTCTAAACTACACATTGGAACCTTCAACGTACGCACCCAATATGTCAAATCGGTCAACAGGCTTCCTTGACTAGAACCCTAGAATCTCGTGCCATTGATGTATTCTGTGTTCCTGAAACACACATACAGGATCCCAGTGTGGTCATTCACTTGACCTCACCTCGGCAAAACGGAGAGTCAACGAGATATACCCTCCGTGTATCTGGTGACCTGACGGCGAGCTCTCGTGGACTAACAGGTGTGGGCATGGCACTAAGCATGAGGGCGCAACAAGCACTGTTAGAGTAAATCCCCGTTAACAGTCGTCTATGTGCTGTTCGATTAAACGGCTGCGTAAGAACTCGGAAGGATAGGGACATACGTCGTTGCCTTTTCGTCGTTTCTGCCTACGCTCCCACTGACTGAAGCCCGGATGAAACGAAAGATGAATTTTACCGAGCTTTCTAAACTCCTTCAGAATGCCAAACGTTCAGACATAGTACTCGTAGCAGGTGATTTCAATACCGAGATAGGTAGCTTAAACCAAACAGAAGGGCATTTAGGTGGGTATTTTTGTATTCCAGCATAACGAACAGATAATGGTGATCGTCTGCTGCAACTGTGCTCAGACAATCGTTTATTTTTAGCAAACACAAATTTTAAGCATAAGAACAGACATCGTCCAATACGGCGACCCCTTACACCAAACCAACGACGGACTCAAATAGAGCATATTGCCATCAGTCATCGTTGGGGAGGCTCGATAGAAGACTATCACTCGTTCTAGAATACCTATGTTGGACTCCGATCATGCTATAATAAGAGCACACATCTGTTTGTGCCTCACTGGACGCAAAAAAGCCACAGTAAAAAGACCCATTAGAACTGAATTGAGTAGCGAGAAAACCAAAAGTAAGTTCCAGGAACAACTGAAGTCACACTTAGGTAGTTCTGAAAACGAGGCTAACCCAGATGTTGCTTGGAAAAATATACAAACAGCTGTAGAAACAACAGTGACATCTATCAGTGATTTAAACTACAGGGTTACAAAGACATCGAAGTAACTGCAAACATGCTTTACCTTCTATTCAAAAAGATTTGGGAGGAGGAACAAGTGCCGATGGACTGGAAAGAAGGGCATCTCGTCAAGATTCCAAAGAAAGGAGATCTGAGCAAATGTGAGAACTACAGAGGCATTACACTACTGTCAATACCAGGAAAGGTCTTCAACAGAGTGTTGCTGAACCGGATGAAAGATGCAGTAGACGCCCAACTTCGAGATCAACAAGCTGGATTCCGTAAGGATCGGTCGTGCACAGACCAAATTGCAACACTACGGATCATCGTCGAACAATCAGTTGAGTGGAACTCATCACTATACATCAACTTCATTGATTATGAAAAGGCATTCGACAGTGTAGATAGGAGGACATTATGGAAACTTCTTCGACACTACGGAGTTCCTGAGAAGATTGTCAACATTATCCAGAACTCATACGATGGACTACAGTGCAAAGTACTGCATGGAGGACAGCTGACAGATGCATTCCAAGTAAGGACCGGAGTCAGACAAAGCTGTTTACTCTCTTCCTTCCTCTTTCTTCTGGTGGTCTACTGGATTATGAAGACCTCGATATCTGAAGGAAAACACGGAATACAATGGACAGCTCAGAATCAATTAGACGATTTGGACTTCGCAGACGACCTAGCCCTCCTACCACGTACACACGAACAGATGCAGATGAAGACAGCCAGTGTAGCAGCAGTCTGCATCAGTAGGCCTCAGCATACACAAAGGAAAAAACAAGGTCCTCAAATTCAAAGAAGAGAACAGCAATCTAATCACTCTTGATGGCGAAACTCTGGAAGATGTAGAATCCTTCACATACCTGGGAAGCATAATCGATGAACAAGGAGGTTCAGATGCAGACGTGAAGGCAAGGATTGGCAAAGCATGGGTCGCATTCCTACAAGAAGAAACCCGGAATGGTTTCTTCACAACACTTATGTACCCATAGATGTTTGTGAATAATAATAATAATAATAATTGAAGAACATATGGAACTCAAAACAACTTTCAACCAATATAAAAGTGAGAATTTTTAATACCAACGTCAAGGCAGTTCTACTATATGGAGCTGAAACTTGAAGAACTACAACAACCACAATCAAGAAGGTACAAGTATTTATAAATAGCTGTCTACGCAAGATACTCAACATCCATTGGCCGGATACCATCAGCAACAGCCTTTTCTGGGAGAGAACAAATCAGCTTCCAGCTGAAGAAGAAATTAGGAAAAGACGATGGAAATGGATAGGACATACATTACGCAAACCATCAAACTGCATTACGAGACAAGCCTTAACTTGGAATCCTGAAGGGAAGCGAAAAAGAGGAAGGCCTAAGAACACATTACGCCGGATAATAGAAGCAGATATGGATAGGATGAATAGGAACTGGAAGGAGCTGGAAAGGATTTCCCAGGATAGTGTTGGATGAAGAATGCTGGTGAGCGGCCTATGCTTCTTCACGAGGAGTAACAGGCGTAAGTAAGTAAGTTACAAAGAACCAATAGATTTCTTCAAGGTCTATTGCACTGATGGATTCTCGTAAACTCATCCCATCAGGCTCTGAACACGATGAAGGGCGACAACAAATCAGATCTAGGTTAACCAAAAGTCTAAGAAACGACCGTGAGCAGTGGTGGGCAACGAAAGCAAAAGAGATGGAAAGGCGGCGGCTATAGGGAACACAAGACAGCTCTACAGACTAATAAAAGAAACTGGAATTAATAAGTCAACTGTAAGTCAGACTATTTCGGTAAAAGACGACACCCTCATCTGCTCTCAGTTCAGACGTTTAGAACGATGGGCGGAACATTTAAGAGAACAGTTCAGCTGGCCCTCAGCTACTCTACAGCTGGTCCAGATGGACTGGCTCCAGAAGTCTTTAAGGATGGTGGTCCAATTTTAGCGACTAGGTTGACTAATATTTTAGCTAAAATCTGGGAGTTAGACGTTATCCCATCTAACTGGTCACAATCACTTATCGTCCCAATATATAAGAGAGGGTCAAAATCATCCTGTGACAAACACAGAGGGATTAGTTTGACTAATATAGCATCTAAAATACTAGCTTCAATAATTATCGGACGCCTAACAAGGACTCGTGAACTGCAAACACGAGAAAATCAGGCTGGCTTCAGACCTGGTCGTGGCTGCATCGACCACATATTCACCATTCGTCATGTTCTAGAACACAGGCATACTTATCGGCGTCCGACGATGGTGGTCTTTCTTGACTTGAAGGCAGCATTTGACTCGGTAGACCGCGAGATTCTGTGGCAGTGTCTGTCATTGAAGGGCGTACCTCAGAAGTACATAAACCTTGTAAAGGCTCTTCACTCGAACACTACTAGTCGAGTCAGAGCTTATGGCGAACTGTCATCTGCTTTCGCAACCTCAAATAGTGTTCGTCAAGGCTGTCCACTTTATTCATTTTTGTTTAACTTCATCATAGACATACTGATGGAAATAACATTCTCGTCGACTGAATTTTCGAGGATCGATCTCGTACTAGGAGGTACAGTTATTGACTTAGAATACGCAGATGACATTGTCCTTTTTGGTGAAGACGCTGATAAAATACAGTGTTTTGGTAGCACTGAGCAACAATGCCAGGATGTCTGGAATGCGCTTCTCCCCCTCTAAATGCAAGTTGTCGTTTCAGGACTGGTCTGTGTCAACACCTGAACTATAGATAGCGAGTGAAGTAATCGAACGCGTGGACAACTTCACTTATCTTGGAAGTTCGATCAGCGCTAATGGGTTGAAGTCTGATGAAACCTCTGCACGGACTCAGAAAGCTCGTTTGGCTTTTGTTAACTTGCATCACTTGTGGCGAAGGCGAAATATCCGTTTATCAATTGAGGGAGGAGTATGTTGTGCGGTAGTTCGTTTTGTCCTACTTTATGGCTGTGAAACGTGGTCATTATGAGTAGAAGATACTCGTCAGCTACTAGTGTTTGATCGTAGATGTCTAAGAAATATTACTCGAATCTTGTGGGATCACCGGGTAAATAATAGTTAGGTTAGACACAGGGTATTAGGGAGTGATGGTAAATCAGTTGATGAGGTTGTGAATCTTCATCAACTGAGATGGTTGGTTGGGTTGACTGAACACTGATTACCACGTCTCGCAACTCTGACTAGTGTTGGAGACGGCTGGAACTAGGTTAGTGGCGGCTAAACCAAATCTTGACATCAGTGCTAGAAGTCACTAACTTCTAGACTGAACCATGTTGGTGGATGCAGACTACTTGGGTCGTAACCCATGGTTGGAGACTCTGTGTAACATGACTCAGAATCGATCACAATGGTGTAGGTGTATATACTATTTATCTTCTCTTCAACCGTGAGATTAGAATTCCTTCATGCCTTTCTTTTTACGAACTAATTCTTTCTTTCTGTACTATATCCTTATCTGCAATCTTTCACATAATACCATCATTGACTTAACTACTTCTATTAATCCGGTGTTCATCTTGTTTTGCTCATGTGGTATGGCAACTTGGACCTATGAATATATGTGCCTGGTCCTACGGAATATTTTATTATCAATATGTATTCATTTGAAGAAATCGTCACAGCCAACCATGAAAAAAGTATGTTGAAACAATACATTAAAAATCAAGCAAGTATAAAGAAATAGATCAAAGGAAACTCATCAATGTAAACAGTAAATATCGATTGAGCTTCATTTTCCATCTACATCGTCTAAAACATCTGAAGTACGTTTACGAGAAGAACCTTTAAACACTGAACCAATTAAACCATGAGCGGTAGTTAACAAATTCACTGGTGTCGTCCCATCTGTAATTAATGTACTTTGTAGGCCCAAAGCGTTCAACATGCTCAGATTATGGTCTGATTCGGCTGTTGCCATTGCACGTAGTGTATCTGCACCTAATGCATTCACCATTGAAATGAAACGCGATTTCTCGATTTCTGTTTCGTCTTCCTTATACTTTAGAGCTAATTCATTCTTTTCCTTGATATAGGCGATCTCTGCAGCTCGAGCCAATTTGAGTCTTTCTAATTCTGCATTCTGAAAATATTGAGATAACGGGATAGGGAAGATTAGATCTGACATCCATAAGTGGAAAACTTTCGAAGCATCAATGCATCCTACAATCAGTATTATCATACTGTAGGATTATTCACATGTGGTCTAATTGTAGAATACGGTGATATGTCTACTAATGGTAGAGGTCGCTTTAAACTGCTAACCATAAATCAACTTCGGTATTTCCAGTCATTTGAGTACATGAAATCCCAGAGATTACATTTGTAAAGAATATTGTTTGGAAGATTTAAGAAATCTTCAAAAACAATGAGGATGTGATTATCTTATAAAATTTAACTGCGAGTTCAGCTTCCTTATGTTCTCAAGAGTCGATAATAAGAACAAAACGTGACAGCAATTCTGTAAATACATTTTATGTCATTCCTTCTCTCTTCTCATTACATTCTACTACTATATTTCCTCATTTTATTATTGACGTGTTTATCTGGCTACATTCCCAGTCTCTGTGTCGCACTGAATGTGTTGAAACACAACTACGGTTGGCACGCTTAGAAAGACTTTTTTACGAACAGAATCACAATTCAGAGCACGAAATTTGGTTACGCAAACTCATTGCTGCCGGATGACATTACTGAACATGTCCCTGACGTCATTTTTAAGCCGGATTCAGACTAACCATACGATTATCTAAAAACGTAGGTCATTCGTGTTACATCTCTCACCGACCAGCAGACATTTGATCAACTTTTTGCTAATGTAGAGCTAGGTGACAGTACACTACCTCAACTAAAAAGCCACATGACAAATTTATTAGGGAACCGTACAGTATATAAACGTCTATTGTATCAATTGTGTCCCAGACGTCTCCCACAAAACATCCAACAGATACTAGCAATTGGAAATCAAGATGTCGATTTTGATAGGCTAACGGACATAGCCGATAGAATTTACGAGCCGACTATGACTCGCTCCGTATCTCACATACAATCAAGCCCAACTGACAAAAGAATCGGAACACAGTTCTTAATCGACATTAGGGCAGAAGTTAGTGTAGTAACACATACTACACTTGAGAAAAACACATCTGACCCCAAACAAAATCTACAAGCAGCAAACAGATCTGAGATCAAGGCCGACCGTAAAAGGCAGTTACAATTAAATTTCGGTCCTAAATCCAATTTTCCATGGAGCGTCATCATAGCTGACGTCTTTGTTCCTATGATGGCCACTGACTTTCCGCAATTTCATAAAATACTATTAGATGTTAGAAATCGGAAACTTGTACTTGCCTATCAGAGTAAGGAAATTAGAGGAATTGTATCTGATGAGACTTCCATACATTTATTAGTCAAACCTCATCACGAGAATGACAAATACATCAATTTACTTAAGCAGTTTCCAGATTATTACGACCGAGTTTCGAGCATGACTAACCGACGTATACCGTCGTACATCACAAAAGACAGAGGGTACACCAGTGTTCGCACGTCAAAGACGCCTTGACCCCTCTCGTCTGCCTCTCGTAAAGAGCGAATTCAACAAAATGATAGAGTTGGGTATCATACGCCCCTCCGATAGTCCGTGGGTATCACCGCCCCATATGGTACCCAAGAAGAACTCTTCCGAAGTTAGACCTTGCGATGACGACAGATCTCTAACAGCCGGTCTATACCAGACAGATATCCTCTTTCACATTTACATGACTTTACTCATAGTCTATGTAATGTGACGATTTTTTCAAAAGCTGATCTAGTCCGTGCTTACCATCACATTCCAATTCACCCGGACGATATTCCTAAAACAGCCATTACTACCTCATTTGGACTATACAAATTTGTTCGCATGCCTTTCGGATTAAAGAATGAGGCACAAAGTTTCTAGCGTTTTATCGACCAAGTGGTACGTGGCTTACCGTTTGTATATGCTTACATAGATGACCTACTTATCGCAAGCAAAGATGAAAATGAACATCTAACTCATCCGAAAATGCTTTTTGAGAAGCTTAAAGAGTATGGGTTAGCAGTCAACCCTGACAAATGTGAGTTCAGAAAACAATCCCTCAACTTTTTAGATCACGTACTTGATAATCAAGGCATCAAACCAGTTCCTAAGAAAACACAAGCCATCAAAAACTATCCTTTACCTGATTCATTCAAGAAACTAGGACGTTTCCTTGGGATTATCAACTTTTACAGACGTTTTATTCCGAATTGTGCAGACCTAGCAAAACCGCTAACTGATTTATTAAGGGGATGAGTTAAATCATTAGCAATTACACCGCAAGCAATTCAAGCATTTGAACAGTTGAAAAGCGCCTTAAACACCGAGGCACTATTCGCACGACGAAAGGTTGATGCACTTCTAGCAGTAATGACCGACGCTTCTAATGTAGCAGTAGGTGCTGTAATCCAGCAACGTGTCAATCAACAATAACAACCCCTTGAATTTTTCTCAAAAAGCTTAACGCAACGTAAACAAAATATAGCACATTCGGTAGAGAACAGTTAACTGTCTACTTAGCTATCAAACACTTTCGGTATATGTTAGAAGGGGATTCTTTTACGATATATACTGACCACAAACCTCTAAATAAGTTTATGATGCACAATCATGATAAATACAGTGCGCACGAAACTCGTCAATTAGAATTCAGCTCGCAATATGCAGCTGATATACGTTATATATAAGGCAATGAAAATGATGCAGCACATGTACTATCGAGATTAAATATCAATACCTTCTCGATCCTTGATATAAACTATCAAGACATGGCAAATAATCAAAAGCTCAATAGGGAGCAACAAAAAGTTTTGCAGTCTAAAGAAGCGAAATTATTACTCCAAAACATCCCCATAAACAACAATGACACCTTAACCTGTGATATCTCAACAGGTAAAACTCGCCCCTTTGTACCTTAAGACATGAGACGAAACAATTTTGGGAAATTACACAATATATCTCATCCAGGTATAATAGCCACTGTAAAGGTTATCACAGATAGATTTGTATGGCCAAGATAAACAAAGATGTACGAAAATGGTCACGGGAATGCATCCAATGCCAGGAGTCTTACTTACTTACTTACTTACTCTTGTTACTCCCAATGGAGCATAGGCCGCTGACCAGCATTCTCCACTCCACTCTCTCCTGGGCCTTCTTTTCTAGTTCCACCCAATTCTTGTTCATTTTTCTCATGTCTATTTCCACTTCTCGGCGTAATGTGTTCTTTGGTCTTCCTCTTTTCCTTTGGCCTTGAGTATTCCATGTGAGGGCTTGTCTTGTGATGCAGTTGGGTGCTTTCCTCATTGTGTGTCCTATCCACTTCCAGCGCTTCTTCCTGATTTCTTCCTCCGCTGGGATCTAGTTTGTTCTCTCCCACAGTACGTTGTTGCTAATAGTGTCCTGCCAACGGATCTGAAGTATTTTGCGTAGACAACTGCTAATAAACACCCGTATTTTCTGGATGATGGCTTTCGTAGTTCTCCAGGTTTCTGCCCCATACAGTAGAACTGTCTTGACATTTGTTCTGAAAATCCTGACCTTGGTGTTGGTTGACAGTTGCTTTGAGTTCCAGATGTTCCTCAGTTGTAAATGTGCTGCTCTTGCTTTGCCGATCCGTGCCTTCACATCTGCATCAGATCCACCGTGTTCATCAGTGATGCTGCCCAAATACGTAAAGGTTTTTACATCTTCCAAATCTTCTCCGTCAATTGTGGTTGAATTGGTGCATTCTGTGTTGTATCGGAGAATCCTGCTTTTCCCTTTGTGTATATTGAGACCTACTGCTGCTGAGGCTGCTGCCACACTGTTCGTCTTCTCCTGCATTTGTTGTTGCGATTGCGATAGAAGGGCCAGATCATCTGCGAAGTTCAGATCGTCCAACTGCATCCTAGATGTCCATTGTATCCCGCGTTTCTCTTCAGACGTTGACGTCTTCATGATCCAGTCGATCACCAGGAGAAAGAGAAAGGGTGAGAGTAAGTAATCTTGCCTGACACCGGTCTGTACCTCGAACGAGTTTGTCAATTGTCCTGCATGCACAATTTTGCAGTTGAATAAATCATAGGAATTCCGTATGATATTGACTATCTTCCGAGGCACGCCGTAGTGTCGAAGAAGCTTCCATGGTGTTGTCCCGTCTACGCTATCAAATGCTTTTTCGCAGTCAATGAAGTTGATGCAGAGTGATGAATTCCATTCAACTGATTCGTAGAGTTGCAATTTGGTCTGTACACGATCTATCCTTACGGAATCCTGCCTGTTGGTCTCGAAGTTGGGCGTCTACGGAGTCCTTCATCCTGTTTAACAATACCATGTTGAAGACTTTTCCTGGTGTTGAGAGAAGAGTGATGCCCCTGTAGTTATCACAGTTGCTGAGATCGCCTTTCTTCGGTATTTTGACCAGAAGTCCTTCTTTCCAGTCTGTTGGTACTTGTTCCTCATCCCAAATCTTGCTGAAGAGAATGTGGAGTATCCTTGCAGTTGCCGCTACGTCTGCTTTTAGTGCCTCTGCTGGATGTTGTCCGGTCCTGCTGCTTTGCCACTCTTGATTTGTCTGATGGCCATGCTGATTTCTTCAATTGTTGGTGGGCCAACATTGATTGGGAGGTCCGTGGGTGCTGCTTCGATGTTGGGTGGGTTCAGTGGAGCTGGTCGATTCAAGAGTTCTTTGAAGTGTTCTACCCACCTGTTTTGTTGCTCTTCAATGTTGGTGATTACCTCGCCTTCCTTGCTTTTCACTGGTCGTTCTGGTTTGCGGCGATTTCCAGAGAGTTTCTTTGTCGTGTCATACAGTTGTCTCATGTTTCCTTCTCTTGCAGCCTTTTCCGCCGTCGTTGCTAAATCTTCCACATATTTACGTTTGTCGGTTCTGATGCTCCTCTTCACTTGTTTGTTTACTTCTGTGTATTCAGCTTGTGCCTTGGCTTTTTCTGCTCTTGTTCGACTGGTATTGATTGCTGCCTTCTTGTTCCTCCTTTCTTGAATCTTATCCAGTGTATCAACAGTGATCCATTCCTTGTGATGGTGCTTCTTGTGACCCAGGACCTCATGACATGTTGAAGTGA